GACTTGGACGACGATGATGATGATGCTGACGCGGATGATGATGATGACGATGATGATGATGCTGATGACACGCATAAGGACATTGATGATGATGATAATGATGATGATGATGATGATGATGATGATGACGATAATGGTGACTCGGATGATGATGATGATGATGATGACGACTCGGATGATGATGAGGATGATGATGATGATGAGGACTCGGATGACGATGATGATGATGATGATATTGACTCGGATGATTATGATGATGATGATGGTGATGATGATGATGATGATGATGATAATCATGATGATGATGATGACTAGGACGTTTTTGACGTTGATGATGCCTCGGATGATGATGATGATGATGATAATGATGATGCTGATGATGATGACGGTGGTGGTGATGATGATGATGACTCGCATGATGACTCGGATGATGGTGATGATGAAGATGATGACTCGGTTGATCACGATAATGATGACTCGGAAAATCATTACGTTGATGATGATGATGATGATGATTCGGATGATGACGATGATGATGATGATGCTGAAGTTGATGACTCGGATTGTGATGATGTTTATGATTATGATGATGATGACGATGATCATGACTGCAATGGTGATGATGTTGATGATGATGATGATGATGGTGATTCGGATGATTTTGATGATGATGATGATTACTCGGATGATGAAAATGATGATGTTGTTTAAGATGATGAAGATGAATCGGGTGATGCTGATGATGATGATGATGATGAAGATGATGATCTTGATGATGATGATGATGATGATGACGATGATGATGATGACGATAATGATGATGATGACTCGGATGATGTTGATGTTGACGATGGTGATCATGATGAAGATGATGATGATGATGATGATGATGATGATGATGATGATGTTTATGAAGTTGCGGACGATGATGATGACTCGGATGATGATGATGATGATTACTCGGTTGATGATGATGATGATGATGTTGATGATGACCATCACGACGAAGAAGATGATCATGATGATGATGATGATGATGGTGACTCGGATGATGATTATGTTGATGATGATAATGATGTTGATGCCTCGGATGATGATGATTATGACGATGACTCGGATGATGATGATGATGATGAAGATATTGATGATGTTGATGATGATGATGATGATAATGCGGACTCGGATGATGAAGATGATGATGATGATGACTGGCATGAAGATGATGATGATGATGATGATGATGATGACTATGATGATGATCACTCGGTCTATGATTATGTTGATTATGATGATGATGATGATGACTCGGATGATGATGATGACTCCGATGTTGATGATGATGATGATGACTCGGTTGATGATGATGATGATGACTCGGATGATGATTGCGTTGATGATGATGATGATGAATATTCGGATGATGACGATGATGATGATGATGATGAAGTTGATGACTCGGATTGTGATGATGTTGAGGATTATGATGATCATGATGATGGTCATGACTCCAATGATGATGATGTTGATGATGATGATGATGATTACTCGGATGATGACTTGTATGATGATGATGATGTTGATGACTCGGATGACTCGGATGATGATGATGATGAAGACTCGTATGATGACAATAATGATGTTGATTAAGATGATGATGATGACTCGGATGATGTTGATGATGATGATGATGACTCGAATGATGATGATGATGATGTTGCTGATGATGATGACATGGATGATGATGATGATGATGATGACTCGGATGATGACTTGGATGATGATGATGATGATGATGATGGTGATGACTCGGATGATGATGATTATCATGATAATGACTCGGATTGAGTTGATGATGATGATGATGATGATGATGATGATGATGATGAAGATGATGATGAGTACCCCGATGATGATGATGATGATGATGATGACGATGATGACGATGATGACTCGGATGATGATGATGATCATGATGATGATGATTACTCGGATGATAATGATGAGGCTGATGATGATGATGACTCGGATGATGTTGATGTTGATGATAATGATGATGATGATGATTCGGATGATGACTCGGATGATGATGACGATGATGATGACTCGGATAATGTTGATGATGATGATGATCATGACGATTCGTATGGTGACAATGATGATGTTGATTTAGATGATGATGATGACTCTGATGATGATGATTATGATGACCGTTACTCGGATGCTGACAATGATGATGTTGATTAATATGATGATGAAGACTCGGGTGATGCTGATGATGATGATGATGATGTTGATGATGATGTTGATGATGATGATGATGACGATGATGACGATGATGAATCGGAAGGTGATTCGGATTAATATGGTGATGATGATGTCTCGGATGACTCGGATGATGATGATGATAACGACTGGGATGGTGATGATTATGGTGACTCGGTTGATGATGATGATGATGATGATGATGATGATGATGGTGATGATATTGATGATGATGACGCCGACGAGGATAGTGATGATGATGACTCGGATGATGATGATGTTTTTGACTCGGATGATGATGGCACGATTGACGACGATGTTGATGATTGGGATGATGACAATGATGATATTGATTAAGATGATGATGATGACTCGGATGATGATGATGATGATGATGATGACAATGATGATGTTGATTAGGATGATGACGATGAGTCCGATGATGATGATGATGATGATGACTCGGATGATGATTATGTTGATGATGATGATGATGATGATGATGATGATGATGATGATGACTCGGTTGACGATGATGATGATGATGATGATTACTCCGATGAAGAAAATGATGATTTTGATTAAGTTGATGATGATGACTCGGATGATGCTGATGATGATGATGATGATGTTGATGATGTTTATGATGATGATGTTGATGATGACTCGGATGATGATGATGATGATGATGATGATGATGATGACTCGGATAATGATTGTGATCATGATGACGATGATGACTCGGATGAGAATGATGATGTTCTTGATGATGATGATGATGATGATGATGATGATGATGATGATGATGATGATCACTCCGATGATGAAAAAGATGATTTTGATTAAATTGATGATGATGACTCGGGTGATGCAGATGATGATGATGATGATGTTGATGATGATGTTGATGATGATGATGATGATGATGATGATGATGATGATGATGATGATGATGATGATGATG